GCCTATTCAACCATCGTCCACCTCGCTAGATCTACTTTAGCGGCCGCTTCTACGCCTCCCACCCCTACCCTGGGAACCCTTGACCAATCATCCACCATTGTACAGCACATTCAGCACCGATCTTGTCCACCGCGCGGGATTTGCTTCGCCGGGACTCTCATCCCCCGCAGCGCATCTGCACCCGGCCCATTCCTACAACGCACTGGAGCCACTTCATCGACCCCATTGTCTACCATATCAGTGCTGCTTCACCGACGCCCTCGTACACGACCGCAGATCTGTCAACACCATCATCCACCCTACCGGAGTCGCTTCATCAACGCCCTCGTCCACGACCTCGGATCCGCTTCGTCGACACCATTGTCCACCTAACAGAGCCGCTTCACCGACGCCCTCGTCCACAGACGCCACTTCGTCGACACCATCGTTCAATATCAGAGCTACTTCACCGACGCCCTCGTTCACGACCCTAGATCTCCTTCCCGGACCCCGACAACCACCGCAGCAGCAACACCCTCGACGACTCTAATTTGATCCCCATTGTCTCCCACGATGCCCAGACACCGACGCGACCTAGTTACTTGTCGCCTTTAAACCCAACTAGCATCACCTGCTTGCTATAATTCTAATATACTAACGGTCGCTCTTACATCTTATGGAGCTGGCAATTGCAGCAAGGACGATATTTCTAATGGATCTATCACCTTGACCAACCAAAATTTGGGACCGAATCATAGCTATGATCTTATAAGTGTGTCTCTCTTTTGTATTCTTGTGTGCCTCAAAGCATGCTTTGCTACGATTTTTGAATTGTAATCCAGGTGTGTAGCCAGTGATTATCACTTTTGCCTACTAAATTAGAGATCTATACGTCATTGTTGGGAAATGTAGCATGCAATTTCAAAAAAATTCCTACGCTCACACAAGATCTATCTAGGAAATGCATAGCAACGAGAGGGAGAGTGTGTGTACGTACCCTTGTAGACCAAAAGAGGAAGCGTTTCACAACGCGGTTGATGTAGTCGAACTTTCTTCGAGCTCCACCAATCGAGTACCGAACGTACGGCACCTCTGAGTTCTGCACACATTCAGCTGGGTGACGTCCCTCGCCTTCTTGATCTAGCAAGGTGTCGAGGTTGTAGATGAGTTCCGTCAGCACGACGGCGTGGTGACGCTGATGGTGTAGTGGTCCTCGCAGGGCTTCGCCTAAGCACTACGAAAATATGACCAGGGGTGTAAACGGTGGAGGGGGGGCGCCGCACATGGCTAGGAAATTGTCTGGTATGTGCTTCGTGACCCCCTCCTCATATATATATAGGTGGGAGGAAGGGAGGAGCAGCCATAGGAGGCGCCAGAGTAGGAAGAACCTACTTGGAGTCCCTCCCAAGCCGCGTGCCCACTGCCATATATAACCGAGGGGGAAGGAAGTAGGAATCCTAATCCACACTTTCCTTGCCCTCCCCTATTTCCTTCTCCTCCTCATAGGGCTAGCCTCTTTAGGGGCGCACCAGAGTTGGTGTGTTCCCTCACTTGGCCCATAAGGTCCATATCTTTGTCGGGGGTGCCGGAAACTCCTTTCCGGTGACCCGATAAGTATCCGGTACCCTCAGGAACACTTCCGGTGTCCGAATATCATCGTCCTATATATCAATCTTTACCTCTCGACCATTTCGAGACTCCTCGTCATGTCTGTGATCTCATACGGGACTCCGAACAACAATCGGTCACCAAATCACATAACTCATATAATACTATATCGTCAACGAACGTTAAGCGTGCGGACCCTACGGGTTCGAGAACTATGTAGACGTGACCGAGGCACCTCTCCGGTCAATAACCAATAGAGGAACCTGGATGCCCATATTAGTTCCTACATATTCTACGAAGATCTTTTTCGGTCGAACTTGGATGACAACATACGTAATTCCCTTTGTCCTTCGGTATGTTACTTGGCCGAGATTCGGTCGTCGGTATCTTCATACCTAGTTCAATCTCGTTACTGGCAAGTCTCTTTACTCATTCCGTAATACATCACCTCATGACTAACTCCTTAGTCATTTGCTTGCAAGCTTATGATGTGTATTGCCGAGAGGGCCCAGAGATACCTCTCCGATACTCGGAGTGACAAATCCTAATCTCGATCTATGCCAACTCAACAAACACCTTCGGAGAAACCTGTAAAGCATCTTTATAATTACCCAGTTATGTTGTGACATTTGATAACACACAAGGTATTCCTCTGGTATCCGGGAGTTGCATAATCTCATAGTCGAATGAATATGTATTTGACATGAAGAAAGCAATAGCAATAAAACTGAACGATCATTGTGCTAAGCTAACGGATGGGTATTGTCCATCACATCATTATCCTAATGATGTGATCTTGTTATCAAATGACAACACATGTCTATGGTTAGGAAACCTTAACCATCTTTCATCAACGAGCTAGTCTAGTAGAGGCTCACTAGGGACATGGTATTTGTTTATGTATTCACACATGTATTTAAGTTTTTGATCAATACAATTCTAGCATGAATAATAAACCTTTATCATGAATAAGGAAGTATAAAATAACAACTTTATTATTACCTCTAGAGCATATTTTCTTCAGTCATACATTACACAAAGTCATAGGTATCATAAAGGAAGGCTAGACACTTCATTGGGGTCCCTAAGAGTGTGTCTAAGTCATTACACAAAGTCATGGCTAGTTTATATGAGGCACGCAATCACTAATTGGTGGTTTAATTATGTGCAAGGATATGCAATGTATTATCATGTAAGGAAATCTCAAATTAGTTGTGTCAACATAAAGAGGGGTGCAACAATGAAAAGTACAAGATTTCCGAGTACATGATCTAGGGAGCACCTTCATCGAACATCGCAACAAAAGGAGGAGCAACGCAGAGCGTGTACAACATGTTCTAGTAAGTCGCTGCATTTCAATTACTCTGACATGCTATTTGTCTAGCATTGTGCCTAACCAGGGTTTTAGACGCCATACGTGGGATGACGAAATACATGTGCATTTCATGACGCTTCCAATCATTTAGAGGATCCAAAATACGTAATGATCAGGCTAGTTCATGTAGGGGAATGTTCTATGCAACAAAAGTTATGCTAGATGATCACACCCAGAACACTATGAAGATGGCGGTAACGACCAAACTCACCGACGAGCAAAGTAGAGAAAGCAGTGAAGAAGTCGGTGAAGCGCGAGGATTCCCACATCTTGGTTACACCTTCCAGCCATGAGATGATCCACCAATCAAGAAGGCAAAATAGACAACCCCCGCAAGGTATCCAAGCATTCCGAAGTAGTAGTCGGCAGAGCTTCGACGTCTAGGACTCAAAGAAAACTAGAGAGAAAGAAAGCCTAGCGGCTCTTCTCATCCAATTAGGAGTCTAATTCTATTAGACAAATTAGACCGAAGAGGTTGTCTAATTAGAAGCCTAAACACTTAGGCCTAGACCGAAAGATCATGGAGCTATTGGGAGAGACCCCCTTAGGATTAATGTGTCTCAAGGGGTGTCCAATGTCGTGGACGAATTTCCATACCAAGCCGACCCATAAAGGGCCAATGGCCTTGAAATTTTGGGTTGGACCAATGTCCCAACGGGTAACATCAATCCATTCCCATCATGGCGAAGAACCAATCGAGGGAAATAAACTGTACCTAATAGTGTACTCATATTTATATTAGTCCCCATTATTTGGGTCAAAATTTGACTAGCAAAATGTTAATCATGTCATAAAAAATTATACTCCTTCCGTCCCAAAATAAATGTTGTCACTGTAGTACAACTTTGTACTGAAGTTAGTACAAAGATGAGATACTCCCTCCATCTAGGTGCGTAAGTCATCTTACGAAAACCAAACAATCCCAAAACACTTACGCACGATACATTAACTCCTCTGTTTCTTGTTTCGTGACATATCAACCAATAAGAGTTGTGGGTCATGCATGCTTTTAATGACTTAAGACTTTCAAACATGACATGCAGTGGTTAATTCATTGCATGCAATGCTATTAACTAGCAAAAAAAATTAATTAAGTTTTCTCATTTTCCACTCCGTCTTGGTCGCGATGTACAAGCTAAGATTACTTATACATCTAGATGAAGGGAGTACTTATTTTGGGACGGAGGGAGTATTATTGAATTTGCATATGAATAATGTTTCCAATGGTATGATTTTTGCTACATATAAATTGTATTTTATTAGTTGAAACTATGACCAAAATATGATGCAAAATACGAGAGTGCTAGTATAACAAGTATACCATACTTTTATCAGATTGTTAGGCCGTCCGGTCGGAAACAGAGTAGCGTCGAGCTGTGTCACCACCCAAGGCGAGACGTCCTTTCATTTGTCGTTTCCTTACCTTGGTTTCTGTTGCCCAGATATTTGGTTGGTCTCCGTGGAGCAAATGATTGCACTACAACTGCTCATTTCTTCCTTCTCCAAAAAATAAAATAAAATATCTGCCCATTTCCTCATTACACTAGCTACTGGTACAACAACTGTCTAAAATTTTACACTGCTTGAAGTAGAAAGTATTGAATAAAGAAAGAACCCCAAGTTTGGCCTCCTGGAAGTAGAAACCGAGAGCTTTCGCATTTGGGGAAAACATAGCCCCCGACGCTTACTCTCTGTTCTTCCCATATCTGGAAGAACATAGCTACACTAGCTACTGCTACAACAACTGTCTAAAAATTTACACTGCTTGATCGGTCGAACTAGTAGCTCCACAGCGACGTCGGCGTGTCGAAGCCGTCGTCGTGTTCGTGGTCCTCCCGCCATGCACCGGCGGCCGGTGGCTCCATGAGCATCCCCTGCGCCAAGCTCGCGTAGTACGACCCCGCGTCCATGCCATCAATCAAGAGCTCGTCGTCCAGCCCCGATAAGTCACTTGAGGTGATGGAGGGCGCGCTCGCCTCCGTCGTGGACGCGTCGGCATGGTGCTGCTCCTGGAATGCCTCGAGGGCGACGGCGACGGCGTCCTTGATCTCTTGCGCGGGAGCGAACCTGAACGACCCGGTCGCGTGGACGGGCATCATCCGCCAGGCGGAGTCGGCGAAGTTGAGGCAGGCATCGTGGCCGGAGAGCGCGAGCGCGGCGGAATCGTGCGCGCGAGCCGCCATCTCGGCGGTGGCGAAGGTGCCGAGCCAGAGCCTGGAGTAACCCCGGCTTACGGGGACGCGCAGCTCGCACACCCACTGCCCTTCCCTGCCACGGCGGCGCACGCCGCGGTACACCGGGTGGCGCGTCTCCTGCAACTTGATCCGCCCGGCCCGCCGTTTGGGCGGCTCCGACCACACCGTCCGGTACTCCTGCTCCTCCGGCCACACCGTCATGTACTCTTGCCCCTCAAACTGCTGCCAGGCGGCAACGGTGTCCATCACTCGCAGCTAGCGTCGGGAGTGGGTTGTGGTGTTGGTTCAGCCGTGTAGGCGTGGAGCGAGGCAGTAGTATGTTCAGAGCTAGTGAGCTGGAGAGCTGGAGCTCGGAATGGATGAGAACGAGACGAAGGAGGATGGCACGTATCTATAACTTGAATCTAGGGATGGCAATGCTACCCATAACCTACGTACCCTGCAGGTTGAAACCCTATTAGGGTAAAGATATGAGACAAAAAATTAACCATGAATATATAAATAGGAAAACATTAAACCCGTCGGGTAGAGCGGATATAGGTACGGGAACGAATTTGTGATGAATAACCCACACCCACACCCACATACCCATGTACTCATATCATATCTATATGAACTCAAAATTATCTCTTCACTTTGTCATGAATTTGTGAACTAAAAATGTACGAGTATGGGATTATGTTTTGATGTGTTGTCGTTTACAAAAAAGTGATGTTGTTTATCAAATATGTTGTTGTTTATAGATTATAATTATATGTTGTTGTTTACGACTATGAGTTATTCAAATTGATGGTTTGCAAACATAGGAAATTTTACCCGTGGGTACCCATCTACCCTGTTGGGTAACGGGTATGAGAAAAAATTGTACCCATCGACGGGTATGGGTAAGCTCAGACGAGACAGGTAAGGGTATGAGGTGGCTTCACCCGTACCAAAACCGTGTCATCCATAAACTTGATGGAGGAAGTATCCCGTGGAAACATGAAAACTTCACCGTGAGCCGTCGATCTGTAATCTAAGGGGTGGCTCATCCATCCACCATTTCGTGTGTTTTACAGAAAAATCCCGAGGCCTTGTGCAAAATTATAACTAGGCCCGGGGTGCTTGCATGCAAGGACATGAGGTTCAATCAGGAGCCCACATTTTAGATCCGGCGGTTCACGTATGGGTTTCCAGGGTTCCACCAGTGGTAGATTGGTAGGTCTTCATGGGATACTTACGGAGGCTACAGGGTAGCCCACTCATGAAACTTTGCAAGATATTACATTTTTTATGTTCATCCAAAAAAAACATATTTTTGATTTATTTTCTATTTTTGAATTTACTGTTCATACTGGTGTACTTGAGCTCAGGAGCAGATTATCCATGTCCGGATATATGCTTGTTATTTAGGTAAACCTTTTTTTTGTGAAATTATTTAGATCAACCTATATTATAACTTTGCATCATTAATTAGTCATGTTTTTATGAAAATAAAAGCTTTTATTAACGTCTAGCTACACCGAGCGGGTGCATAAAAGGAATAAACTACGATAAGAAACACTAATAGACCTCTCACATGCCAGTTACCAAAACCGGGACATAAACTTCATGGTACAACAATCGTATGTTTCTTTTTCAAGTATATTCTCAATCAAGAGCAAACAAAACTCTGGTTTGAAATATGAACAAGTAGTGCATTGTAATATCAAACCACACAATTTGCTTAACTTTAGAATTCTCCAGTTCTTTGCGTGAAGGCAAAAGCAAATCCTACACTGCATAATTACGGATTTGCACAGTGTGCAATTAAAAAAACTAGACACCGTAACTGATACAGTAGATATATATCTTAGGGCATCTCCAGTGCCGTAAATGTTCATTTTTATGTCCATACGTGCTCCGCAGACATGATGCAGGAGCTGGCCATCCAATGCTATTACAAATTAATCCGGTTGGGAGCAGAGAGAGGAGAGGGAAGACCATGCATGTGGTGAAATATTATGGTGTGGTGTCCAGTTGGGAGGATAGAGAAGAG